GGGGTGGAGGGGGTGGAGGAGGAGGGATTGGATCGGGTGTTGCTAGGAGTGCCCCTGGGCCTAGGTGCCCCCAGCTCTTCGCTCCATCCTGGAGCCCCCAGGGCTCTCTGGGCCTCGCAAGGAGTGCTCAGGAGGCCGTGGGGGCCTCCCTGGAAATCCTGGGGGCACCTGGGGCCAGATACACGTCTAGCAACACCCGACTGGAGGTCGGAGGCGGTGGAGGGGGAGGAGGATGGGGAGGAGGAGGAGCATGAGGAGGAGGAGGAGGAAGCAGAAGGGGATGATGATGATGATGATGATGATGATGATGATGATGATGATGATGATGATGATGATGATGATGATGATGATGATGATGATGATGATGATGATGATGCTGATGATGCTGATGATGCTGATGATGCTGATGCTGATGCTGATGATGATGATGATGATGATGACGATGATGATGATGCTGATGCTGATGCTGATGCTGATGCTGCTGATGCTGATGCTGATGCTGATGCTGATGATGATGATGATGATGATGATGATGATGATGATGATGATGATGATGATGATGGTGGTGTGGTGGTGAGGAGGAGGAGCAGGAGCAGGAGCAGGAGGAGGAGGAGGAGGAGCAGGAGCAGGAGCAGAGAGGAGGGGGGGAGGAGGAGGAGGAGGAGGAGGAGGAGGTGGAGGAGGATGAGGCGGCGGCGGAGGAGGAGGTGGAGGGACTGGAAGTCGGAGAAGGGAAAGGTACCGATATCGCTGCTCGCCCTGGAGAGCCTTCGTCGCCCCGGATGGATGAGCCTCGAAAGCGGGTCATACTGCACCCAGGGAGAGGTTGTCGGGGAATTACGCTGTCAGTATCGCCCCGTCCCTGGTCAGAAGGAGAAGGCGAAAACACCCATCCTGAACATATAAAGTTTCGACGCTCCGCAAGGTTCTGCTTGCAGAGGAGGAGGACTAGGAGGAGGAGGAGGAGGAGGAGGAGGAGGAGGAGGAGGAGGAGGATAATCAGGAGGAGGAGGAGGAGGAAAAGGGGGAGGAGAAGGGGCTACCCGGGCCCGGCCCTCACGGCCTTCACGCTGGAGGCGCTGGGGCGCGCTGGGGCGGAGGCGCAGGCGCTCCTCCGCACTTGGGCGCGCGGCGACGCCGCCGTGCTGGCGGCGGTTCGCCAGAGCCTCGCGGCGACGCTGCAGCGCGGGAGCGCGGAGGCCTTCCGCTCCGCCTGCCTGGCCGCGCGCGGGGTGACGCGCCGCGGGGCAGGCGGCGCCGAGCCGGCGGCCCGCCGCGCGCGCGCGAGCTGAGCGCGGGGGAGCGGCCCCAGCTGAGCTGAGCGGCTGGCGCTGGGGGCGCGCGCCGAGCGGCTGGCGGGCGCGCCGCTGCAGCTGGGGCTCGGGCGCTGCTCCGCGGGCGCTGGGCGCGCGCCGAGGCGGCTGGGCAACTGCGGCGCGGCGGCGGCGCCGGCGGCGCCGGCGCTGGGCGGCCTGGCACGGTGCAGCGCAGCGCCGCCCGTGCGGCTCGGAGGGGCGCTGGCAGGCGCAGCGCTGCCGCCGCTGCTGCCCCGCTGGGGAACTGGGTGGGCCGCGGCCGCGGGGCCCGGGGCGCTGGGCCACTGGGGCCCGACGGCGGCTGGCGCGCGCGGAGCTGCGAGCGGCGCCGGGGGCGGGCGACCGGCGCTCGCACTCGGCTACACCTTGCTGGGCGTCGCCGCCGTGCTCCCGTGCATGCGAGGTAGAGGCCCCGGTCGACGCACCCCGTCGGCTCCGGGGCTTGCTCGCCGCTGAGCGGCGTGGGGGTTGCGCCGGCCCCCGATCAATGCGCCCCCGGCGCGCGGCAGACACGCGGCCGCCGCAGGAGGAGGAGGAGGAGAATCAGGAGGAGGAGGAGGAGGAGGAGGATCAGGAGGAGGAGGAGGAGGAAGATCAGGGGGAGGAGGAGGAGGAGGAGGAGGAGGGATCAGTCGCAGTGCTCCTCCGTCGTCCTGCCGTGGCTTCGCCCATAGTTCCAGGCGCTGCTGCCGCATCTGGGATCATCTCCCACCCTCCCTTCCCCAGCACAAGCGTGGGAAGGGATCCAGCATGGCTTCAGCCTGTTGACGAGCCGGCCCCCAACTGCCAGTTAGCAGGAGGAGAAGCCATATCAGAGCTCGTACGAGCCAAAGTTTGTCGCCCGCCTGGAAGGGGCAAGTGGCTCTGGGAGGAGGAGGAGGAGGAGGAGGAGGAGGAGGAGGAGGAGGAGGAGGCGAGAATCCCCATCATCATTCCTCGTCCTGGTTCTTCTCCCCCAGAAAAATCGGAATTCTTCCCCCCTTCTTCACCCATCCTCCTCCATCGCTTCCTCCCCCTCAATATCCGTATGTTCTTCCTTATTTCTCTCCTCGTCCTCGTCCTCCTCGCCTTTCTTCCTCCCTCCGGCTCTATCCTCCCTCCCGCCTCATACCTCATGTTCCTAAACATCGCTTTCCCTGGGTGGGATTCTCAGACGAGCCTTCCCAGAAAAGAGGAGAATGAGAGAGAAATCGAGAGAGTGAGAGAGAAGCAGTGGTTCGAACAAGGAAGGAGGGGGCGGTGAGGCAGTGAGAAGGTTGATCCATGTTTCATACTATATGTACTCACCGCGTAGACCACCCTGTGGGTGACAAGGAGATAAAGGGGTGGCATCATATCTGAGTAGGACTGGGTACGCAATTCAACTCGCAACTAGTTTATTTCTGCCCTTACTCCCTCCCCAGCATTTCGTCAATCGTCATCACAATCTACCGATCTCACTATCAATAGCTATATGTCGAAGTCCCTGTCGATGTATCGGGACAACTATCTGGACAACCAGCCTGACGATTACCGGGACAACCATCAGGGAAACTATCTGGACAACCATCGGGACAACCATCGGGGCAACCATGAGGGCAACCATCGGGACAACCTTGTGAAAACGATTGGCCTGAGGAACCCATGTGTTTTGACGGTTGTCCTGCTCACGGGCCCTCGAAACCCATGTTTTTTTTTCCACGGTTGCACCGACACTCGGGACAGCCGGCGAGACAGCCGGGGTCGATGGCATGGACCCAGCGACTCACTTGGGTTTGATGTGGGCCTCCATGCGTGCCAGGCCAGGATCTCGCGCAGTTTCCGCTCGCCCGCACGCACGTTACGCACGAAAGGAAACAAATTTCAGACTGGGGCACCTCACGCTTCATTGCGGTCTCACCCCCCCGCATATTATAGACAGTGGTTGTTGTTTTTACTTGTTGATGTGTTGAGTTCTAGCCCCCGAGAAAAGAAAATAACATGTTCGTAAACCATCTACTGAAGGAGGTGCAGGAGGACAAGACTGAGGAAATGATGAAGACGATGAGACTGAGCAGGAGGAGGACGACGACGGCGAGGCTGATGAGGGGAGAAGGAGGAGAAAGAGGAACAAGGTGACGAGGAGGAAGAGTTTAAGAATGAGGAAAGGGTACCTTAAGAAGAGAGAGGGATTATATCTCTTCAGGGACTGAAGAAGAAGGGAGGGAGAGAGAAAGAGGAGAGAGAGAGAGAGGAGAGAGAAATACAGAGAGAGAGAGAGAGAGGACAGACAATGATATAGAACAAACATAATGCATTTGTAGATAAAAAGACGGAAGGAAATAATCAATGGCATGAATGTGTGGACATGTTATGTGTATTAATATTATACAGAATATATATATATATATATATATATATATATATATATAGGCATAAACAAAGAGAGAGAGAGAGAGAGGTAGAGACAGAGTAGCGCAGTCTGCGATTGGCCGTGTACACCTCGCACATGGGCCAAGAGGGCGTGGCCCACGGGGGTCCCACGACTCGCTTTGGACTGCTCCAGCCCGCGCCCCCGGGGAGCTCAATTCGGCGCGAAAGTCGGCGCCTCGATGTTTGCTCTCGCCGCCGCCAGATCTCCGAGGCCTCGTCCTCCCTCGCGGCGCCCGCCGTGCGGGCCGACGCCGCCTCGACCCGCACCGCGGGGCCCACTCCGGACGCGCTACGACAGCTCGCGCTGCAGGCTCGCTCTGTCCCCGCCCTGCCTTGCCCTCCCCTGACCTTCCAGAGAGCTATTTTTTAGCACTGGAGACCTAAAAACCTAATTACTCCGACGGAAGTACCCCGCATGAGAATCCTCTGGGCGAATCTGGAAAAAGCGCTCACCGTCGTCCTCGTGGTTGTGAGGCGTTCTGACTGTCTCTTCTGCGTATATTTCTTCTCGCCCTGGCGCGGGCCCTCCCCCCGCCCCCTACGTTGCCCCCGACCTCGCCCTCCTGTTTTTTTTCGCGCCCCGCCACCGCCTCGCCTTTCCATTGCACGAGCGCGCATGTCGGTTTTCCTCGGCGCCGTCGCCGCCTCGGCCAGCACAGGCGCGTTCTCTAATGGCCACGTCGCGCAGCCGTTGGGGCAACCCCGCGGGCCAGGCTGTCGGGACAACCCCGCGAGCCGCTTGCGCGCAAGACCAAGCCGTTGGGACAACCCCGCGGGCTTCGAGCGGGGCGCAGCCGCGCTCAGGCGGGCAGCACGAAGCCCAGCTCTGCCGCGAGCTGCTTCGCCTCCGCCCTGGACAAAACCGCTCTCTTGTCGAACTCCAGGAGCGCCTTCCGCAAGGACGCTGGCGGCCCTCGCTCCAGGAAGTCCCGCGGCGGCGGCCGCAGGATCAGCATGTTCCGCATGCACGTGGCGCGGGAGAGCATGACGTAGAGGTGCAGCCACCACTGCTCGTCAGACATGCCCGTGCGGCCAGCGTCCTCGTCTCTCGCGCAGTCGATGGTGACGCCCTTGCGCAGCGTCTGGCCCTGCGACAGCGTGGAGGTCAGGTAGGACGCGTGGGTCAGGATGAACCCCGAGCGGCGCACGTTGTGCGGCCCCGAGCCCTGCCATGTGAACTCCTTTTCGCTGGGCCTGAACATCAGCAAACTCCGCGCCCGCGCCTCGGCCTGGCCGTCGTCGTCGGCGTCTTCGGCGCCCTGTCGCAGCACCTCGGCGACCTCCTGGTAGATC